ATAGTCTTTTGAGTATCCGTATATATATATATATATTGTATTTGTGTAACCTTTATAACCTACTAAATGCACATCTATAGTCTTTTGAGTATCCGTATATATATATATATATTGTATTTGTGTAACCTTTATAACCTACTAAATGCACATCTATTGTCTTTTGAGTATCCGTATATATATATATATATATATATTGTATTTGTATAACCTTTATAACCTACTAAATGCACATCTATTGTCTTTTGAGTATCCGTATATATATATATTGTATTTGTGTAACCTTTATAACCTACTAAATGCACATCTATTGTCTTTTGAGTATCAGTATATATATATATTGTATTTGCATAACCTTTATAACCTACTAAATGCACATCTATTGTCTTTTGAGTATCCGCATGTGTATTGTATTTGGTAATTTCTCAACTCTCTATATGAATATAATAGTACTCTCTGTTGTATTTCCATGTAACTACTTCGCAGGGTATGGATGGATCTTCACCAAAATTGGTATGGAGGTTCATTAGGTCCATGCGTGAGTACATACAAATTTTCAGCTTTGAATTTTGCGGTTTTTATGGGCGTTTTTGTATTTTTTATCACTATTTCGCCCCCTATATTTGGATCTTCACCAAATTTGATATGGAGGTTCATTGGGTCCATGGAAAGATACAAACAAACTTTCAGTTTTGCGGCCATTTTTTACCACTACTTCGCCTCCTGTTGATGGGCCTTCACCAATTTTCGCTTGAAGTTTTGTTGGATCCATGCAGTTTCACATTTTGTGTTTTCCAGTTTTATGGGCGTTTTTTAACAATTACGTATAAGGGAAGCAACTTTTTATGTCCTGAGATAACCTTTCATTAATCATGAATTTACATAACTTCCTTCCAGGGGACGGGTACTCCAGCTAGTATTTAACATGATTGTCGTGTGGCATGTTGCACGCGAATCTTATGTTACATGACTTTGTGATTGTGTTGTGTATTATGGTGCGTATTGTTGGGTTGTGACTGTTGTATGGAGAATATGAAACGTTGTATATATATTGTTATTGAATAACATATTAGTGTTGAGTATTACGTTTGACCGTTGTATGGTATGTGTTATGATTATTCTGAGGTATTGTTTGTAAGATTGCTGTGATATTGTGTATATGATTGTTGAGTGATATGATGTATATGAATCTTGTACGGTATTATGTATACATGATATTTGTGTTACAAATTCTGTACGCTGTTCCACGCTGAGTTTGGACGTGATTATTATGTGGTGCGATCATTATGAGTTGGATAAAGTTGCGTTTGGAAGGAATGTATCAGAACTACATTTTGACATTTTTTTGTCGTTGGTGATGACACCGAAATGTTATCGCTTTTGGGAAGGGTATGTAACAGCTCTTTCCGTCACAAAACATTCAGATGTGTTCATATCGAGGAACTAATGACTAGAGGTTCATGTAACAGCACTTTCCGGGGAAGGACATTTGTATAGTGAAATTATCAAACTATGTAAAGACAAAATATAGAATAAAAAATACTTCAACGGTCTTCATGGGCGCGGAAAGATATCAATATTCTATAGTGAGATTAGCCCCATTAATAGATATATCATAGTTCCTTCCCATGGCCAGGTGGTTAGGGCGCTCGACTCGTAATCTTTGGATCATGGGTTCGAATCCCAGATCCACCAAACATGCTCGCCGTGGGGGCGTTATAATGTGACGGTCAATCTCACTATTCGTTGGTAAGAGAGTAGCCCAAGAGTTGGCGGTGGGTGGTGATGACTAGCTGCCTTCCCTCTAGTCTTACACTGTTAAATTAGGGACGGTTAGCGCAGATAGCTCTCGTGTAGCTTTGCGCGAAATTAAAAAACAAACAAATATGCTTCCTTCCATCAAATGTTTTGTTTAGACTTGATCTTCAAGAAATCTGGTTTTTGTAGAAAATTCTAAAATACATTGTCCTCGTGCAAACATGACGACCATGTATATGTTGTAAACATCGAATAAACTATCATAGAAACCTTTTACATCATATATATATTTCGAGTAACAATAATTAATTAATAACCTCCTCCTAACTTGTCTAAAGGTTAATGATCCCATTTTTATTAATGTAAAGGCTAATGACCTCCTAGCTTGTATAAAGACAAACTACCTCCTCCTAACTTGTGTAAAGGTTAATGACCACCTCCTTATTTGTCTAAAGGTTAATTGTTGTTTTAATAACCTCCTTCTAACATGTATATAGAGGAATGACCTCTTTCAAACTTGTCTAAAGGTTAATGACCTCTTCCAAACTTGTCTATAGGTTAATGACCACCTCCTTATTTGTCTAAAGGTTAATTGTTGTTTTAATAACCTCCTTCTAACATGTATATAGAGGAATGACCGCTTCCAAACTTGTCTAAAGGTTAATGACCTCTTCCAAACTTGTCTAAAGGTTAATGACCTCCTCTTTAATTGTCTAAAGGTTAATTGTTCTCTAAATAACCTCCTTCTAACTCGTATGTAGAAGAATGACCTCTTCCTAACTCGTATGTAGAAGAATGATCTCTTCCTAACTTGTATGTAGAAGAATGACCTCTTCCTAACTTGTATGTAGAAGAATGACCTCTTCCAAACTTGTCTAAAGACTAATGACCTCCTCCTAGTTTGTCCACAGATTAATGACTCCTAACAAATATTATTTGCGTTTTGTATATTAAATTTCACAGACTTGAAGGTGGAAAAAAATAAAATGTACGAGTCAACAACAATGATGTAGCAGAATATGTTTAACAGTTTCGATTCGGTTGAAAGAGCACGGGATCTCCTATACGATTAAGAAAATGATGATTCTACCTTTTTTGTAAGTTCTTAATTTTTCCCCTTCATATCAACTATGCAACAAAATTAGCAGAATATCTCATTATATTTTAAGTATTCAGAATTTTCCTTTAAGGGCCCACATGGCATTGCACTATTGTATAGAAGTCTGAGTCCGGGAACAAATAATAACATGGGGCCATCTTGCGAGTAATTACTATCTTGGGAGACATGGTGTTTTACAGTTTATTACTCACTTTTTTTTCATATAACTTATATTACCTTATGTTGCTAATGGAACAACAATTTTAATTTGGTGTTGTCATCTTGTCTGGGAACAAGGAAGTCTATTGTTTTGAAATCGTTATAGATTTTTGACACCAGACGGTGTTTCACAGTGAATGCCTTTTAATTCCAAAAATATAACAAAAAAAAGCGGAATTCTATGAAACGAAAAAAAAAGAACTTTTAAGTTTTCGATGAATTTCACCTCAAAGAATAGAAGTAACACCAATTCTAATATTACGAAGTTTCTGGAACCCGTTACTTGGCCGCCTTTTAAAAAAATACTTAATAAGTGAATTCATTGATAATAAATATTTTCAGAAGAGTTATTGGTCAAGTATTTCTCGTCATGAAAGTTACGACGACACCAGCAATGTACAACACCTCAAACCATTATTATACCTAGTTATACATTTTTATTTGTTTTGAATTCCGTGAAAAGCTTCTCGAAGGCTATCTGCAGTAACGAGGGCTATCTGCAGTAACTATTCCTAATTTTGAAGTGACAGACTAGATGGAAAGGAGCTAGTTAACACTAATGTAGCCCCTCCCAATGGCACAGCGGTATGTGTGCGGACTTACAACGCTAGAAACCCGTGGTGGGCAGAACACAGATAGCCCATTGTATAGCTTTGTGCTTAATTACAAACAAACCTACACAACAATAACGGTCTTATCTTAACAATTTTTTACGATCACGAATTTTTATTTCCAAACAAACTAAATTAGTGAAATGGGTTTTTGTATGGGTGTTCATTATT